TTCACATCTTTACTTTTTTTAGAGGGTTGTTCTTCATATTTTGAATGAGTCTTTGTAGGAATAGGTGTGAAACTACTAGAAGTAACAGTCCCATCTTTTTTGCCTTTGTCCTTCCAACTTGAAAATCCAAAGTTGGTAGAACTCTTCTTAGTCACTTCTTTTCTTTTGAGTTGTTGCTCTACTCGAATTGCTTTATGAAGTAAATCCTCCATATCAACAAACTCCTGCAACTCAACAATATCACATATATCAATATTCAAACCACCAATAAATCGGGCCATAGTTACTTCTTCATCTTCTTCAATCTTTCCTTGAATCATGAGCATGTCCATTTCTTTGAAATACTCTTCAACCCTCTTGTTGCCTTGAGTAAGTTTTTGGAGTTTAAATTTCAAGTCCCTTGCATAACTAGCCGGCACATACCGCTTCCTCATGATCCTTTTCATCTCAGTCCATGTATTAACCATTGGTTCTTCATTTCTATCTCTCTCCTTTTGTAGCTTGTTCCACCAAACAAGAGCATAGTCAGAAAACTCTGTTGTTGCAAGCCTCACCTTTTGGGTCTCCTCATAATTGTTGCATGAGAAAACATGCTCTATTTTCATCTCCCACTCCAAGTATGCTTCTGAATCACTTTTTCCTTTGAACGGAGGAATGTTAAGCTTGACTCCTTCAAGCCTACTTGGTCTTGTTACTCCATCATTCATTCTCCTATTTCTCCTTTCTTCTTCGTCTTCAGGATTTCTATTCTCCAACCGGTTCAATCTTTCATAGAGCTCATTGTTATGTCGTGTCATTAATCCTTCCAAATGTTGTACCAATACTCTCATTTGAATTGGACTAATTCCTGCTTCTTGATTGTAATTTTCCTCTTCTGCCATCAATTTAATGTTCAAACCTTTAAACCGGAGCTCTGAATACCAAATGATATGAATCACAAGGGGTGATTTAGGATCTTTAGGGTTAGAACATTGTAAGAAATTTAAGAATTAGAAAGAAGGTGGAAGGAAAGAATCACTCTTCCCAAGGGAGGCAACACACAAAGGATGTGACAGTCCTTTGATACAGCCAAGGGTTCTTGAATCACTCAAGAATTTAGGAGAATCACTCTCACTAAGATAAAAGAGATAAACTCTAATATTTCTGAATAAAATTTTACTTGTTATTTCTTGATAAGAATGGTTCAGTTGATATAGAAGCGTTGTCATCAGAATTATAAAAGACTCAATAAAAGAACATAAATACTAATAATAACCCATTAATCTAGGAATTGAAAACTATTTAATGGAAACAAATAAAGGCTAATAATGATCCATTAACCTAGGAATTGAAACTACTTAATGACTGATTGTATCTGAAACTGTGGCAACCAAAATCAAGCTATGCACCCCTTGGTTTCCCAAAGGCTGATGACTAAATTTTCAATTGAGCCCTTATTACAACTTAAAACAAAATCAAACTAAAGCCCATTAATTGATTATTCCAAAACACAATTTGGTCAACCAACAATACTTGTTGAAGAACTTCCTTTGTTTCCCTTGCTCTAACCCTTATCATAGGTCATGTTCACATCATCTTTCCTCCAGAGCATCAGAACCCTCTGTACATGCATCAGAACCCTCTGTACATGTCCCTCGCGAAAACTGAACTTCTATATGATTTAGCTGACGAGATCTATAATGCTCCCTTTTGGGTTCTGGTTTGCTGAAGTTTGCTTTTTTCTCCATGGTGGTTCTTGTTTTTCACCTTCAAATCCTCATCTTTGTTTTGTCTTCTATTTCTTGATTCAGAATGTTGAGCTGTTGCTCTTTTCTTGCTTTTCTACCCTACTAATCATATTTCTTTCGTTCTTCTAGATCCTACTTACCTGCTTGCTGTTTTTTGTTGGATTTCTCCCTCTTATGTTTCCTTTTCCAAGAAATCTGGTCTCCCCAATTCTACTTCAATATCTGATTTCCTCATTTCTTGTCCTTTAGTCGCAGGTTCTATTCTCTCTAGTTCTTCATAATCTTTATCTTTTCTTACTGCCATTAGGTGGCAGCTTCTGTTCTCCACTCCACCGCCCTACTGTGATCAACCACCAAAGTCCTCCCTTCCATTGAATCTTGGAATCAATCTGGAAGCGCCATTTTCTTGACAACTTTCCCCCATATCTCCTGCCAGTTGATAAATGTTATGATTTAGGAAGAATATTTTATCTTTCGAATTGTCATTCGGACAAATTATGAGCGCAAAGAACCTTAATTACTTACATTCCAGTTGGCTGGATCAAAATATACCGGGATGGAAGTATAAACGATGGTTCCTCTTGGAGCTAGCTTTTGCAAAGGTTGGTTTTTTCCGGGGATTTGATACTGGATAGGATCTTTCAAAACTGTGTACATGTTGTATGTGGTATTGAGCTTGATAAGTCATGTTTTAATAGAGACATGGTGGGTGCTGAGTGCTGACCAGCCTGGTACTTATTTGTGACTGAAAGATAAATGAAGGCAAAAAGATCTGATTCCAATGTTTATGCCGTTGGAATTCACTTTACAATACTTTAAAGACTGAAAAAAAAAATTAAGTTTGTACTTGTGGGAGCTTATTTTCTACCCTTCTAGCTTGTTATGCCTGAATTTATTTTGCATATTAATACATTCTGCTATTTTTTACCAGTTTCAAATTTTGCAGGTTGGCTTGACTGTTAGTTCATCGACATATCATATATCCTCTACTATCTATCTCATTACATGGTCACAGTTGCACAGGTAGGATCTCAGCACCGCCTGTTTTGTTGAAAAGCTAATATAAAGCTTTCTGATGGAATTAGTTTGGGATTCATCTTCCATACCAGTTTTTCTCCAAAGCCAAACCTGTTTACTGCATAATAATCGATCCTTGTGAAAGTAATTGTCCCTTCAATTAGGGTGACCACGAGATGAATTCGGTCGGATTGTTCTGTTTTTATCTGCCCCAACAATTTTATAGATCATTTATTTATTTATCTATTTAAAAAATTAATCGTAATCCAACCCAATCTGAATTCGATAATTATTTAAAATCGAATCAATCTGATTTATTATTATTTGTGGAAACATAGGTACTTTAAAACTTTTGTCCACGCTTTTTTAATAAATAATTTTTTTTCAAATTTTATTGTTTTATTTTTCTATTCTTTAAATGTATTTACTTTTTTATTAATTAAATGTTATATTTTTCTCTTTCATATTTTTATTATTTTTAAATATATAGATTATAATAATTTTTTTAAATTATCATTTTTTTTCATGATATTAAATAACCATTATAAAAATTTCTTCTTTATATATATAATATAGTTTTATCGTTAATAAATATCTATTAAAAAAACTCGTGATTACGTAAAAATAAAAGACACCAGTTAAGAATAATTTTAAGACTTAAATATATCATAATCAGCATGGGACCGGTTTATTGTGATGCCATTATCCTCACACATCACATCCCTACTTTATTTTTACACGTCCCTACTTCAATAATAACTTACTGATCCCTCCATCATGATTTGAAAACAATAGTATCTATGTATCATACATTAAAGGGTGATCTATTATAATTTTGTTTATAATATTTTATACAAGATCTTTGAAGATTTTTTAATTAGTAATTAATGTTTTTAAATTCTCATAGTTAGTTCATATGCAGTATATAGGTTTTAAATAACATTGATATAGTTTCTTTAATATGGTTTGTGTCATTCTCTAATTAAATTTAAATTTAAAGTTTGATTTTAGTATAATATCTTGGAATAGTATTTTAATGAATTTAAAGTTTTATCTCTTATTCTTTGATGTCTGAAACTTAAAATGAGGGAAACAAATATTCATACAAGAGTATGTATGGCAACAGATCCTTGGTGTTTCTCTAATGGAGATTACAATTTTATTTTGGTAATAATGATATTCTGCCTTAAAGGATTTTAAGGATTACACAAATATGCACACGAATGAAGATGTCAAGTACAAATATTGAAAGTACATCATCACACCCAAATATGAGTATGATTCAAATATATTTTTAAATGCAGGTAAAAGTATAGATATTATCCTATATTTGCCACTTCTTGTTGCTATCCAAACATTTTTTTTTTGTTAGTTAAATAAGAAAGTCTAATAAATTATTACATAAAAATAGTATTTTTTAAATATTAAAATAAAAATGGTAAATGAGAAATTTTATTAAAAAGTTAATAAAAACTAAAAAGATATTACTAATTATAAATTTAAATATTACTTTACATATAAGAAATTGGAGTTACATTTTTTTTAAAATAAAATCGGTTTTTAAAAAGTTTCATTTTTTTTTCAAACAACACATGTCTTCAATGCTTATCTTTTTTTACACAGATTAAGTATAATAATAAATAATTATTTTAAATAAATTTACTGACGTATGTTTACTTTCAATTATAAAGGTAACATTTATAACCATTGAGTGATTAATGATATGGTTAAAAAATGAGTAGACTTAGTACTGAAAAAACTGTTAAATAGATACAATGTATTTAAAATAAATTTGAAGTAGAAGTTTATCTTATTAGAAACGGAAATATAAAATGCTAAAACGCCAAGACAGATTATATCACTTTGTTGGAACAAACCAGTTGTTTATAACATTATTTGTTGAAGAAAATGTTGTTTTATTTTTCAATAAAAAAACTGCATGTTGACATTAGATCTCTTAATCTTTGTGCATAAAAATAGTTTAATAAATTATGATATTAGCATAGATTTAACATCCCAGTAAACAATTAGCAATGTCAGGACTGGACCCTAGACACAAGGCATACGATAAAGTAACATGAAAAAGGGAAAAACATTACAAGCACAACCGACAAGGTTCCATTTGGATTTGGTTATCTTTGAACTTAAGTTTCTTACTTACTCCAAACCAAACAAATCTCCTAATAATTCACTTCACTTTCTGACTCTCTGATTCACTCTCTCTCTCTCTCTCTCTCTCTCTCTGAAAGGACTAAGATGGGTTCAGTTTCTCTGAAAATTGGAGATGGAACAGCCAGATTCCAAAGAGCAACACTGTGTTCTTCAGCTGTTAACATTCTCATGATTTTCTCTGTCATCACCACCAACCTCTTTGCTCTCTATGCGTTCACTGCTTCCCCGAAACACCCCCATCACCTTCTCCACCACCATGCTCAAAAGAATATTTCTCTAATCTCGGAGCAGGTCTCACTCATTCTCAGAGAGATCGATTTGTCGCAAAAGAAACTGGCGCAGATGGAGAAAGAGCTTCTGGGCTACGAAAGCATTGATCTTTCGAGGCCCAACATTGCATCCGAGCTCAAACTCTTCCTCCAGCGACACCAGCTTCCTCTGGGGAAAGACTCAAGAACTGGGATCACTGAGATGGTGCCATCAGTGGGCCACAGCTGTGAGAAAAATTCAGACCTGTTGTCTCAGTTCATGAGTTACAAGGTTTTCGGAACTTGTCCTGATGATTGGAGTGTGGCGCAGAAGCTGATCTTAAAAGGGTGTGAACCTTTGCCTAGGAGGAGATGCTTTGCAAAGACTGTTCCCAAGGTAGGTTTATACCCCTTTCCAGATTCTCTTTGGAAGCCTGTTGGTAATAAGACTGTTAACTGGAGTGGTCTGGTTTGTAAAAATTTTGAGTGTTTGAATGGTAAGAAGTTGAGTAAGGAGTGCATTGGTTGCTTTGATTTGGTCCATGGCAATGAGAATGTTAGGTTTGTGAAGAGTAAGAGTAAGAATGACTTTCTGGTTGATGACGTGTTGACCTTGGGAGGCGGAGGGATTAGAATAGGGCTTGACATTGGTGGCGGGTCTGGATCCTTTGCTGCTAGAATGGCTGATAGGAATGTCACTGTGATTTCTAACACTCTCAATGTTGATGCCCCATTCAGTGAGTTCATTGCTGCAAGAGGGCTTTTTCCTCTTTACTTGAGCTTGGATCATAGGTTTCCTTTCTATGACAATGTGTTTGACTTGGTTCATGCTTCAAGTGGCTTGGAGGTTGGAGGAAAGAGTGAGAAATTGGAGTTTTTGATGTTTGACATTGATAGAGTTTTGAGGGCAGGTGGTTTGTTCTGGCTGGATAACTTCTTTTGTGCCAATGAAGAGAAGAAGCAAGCTTTGACTAGGTTGATTGAAAGGTTTGGATATAAGAAGTTGAAATGGGTTGTGGGAGAGAAGGTTGATAGTGTTGGATCTGGCAAACCTGAAGTTGTGTTATCTGCTGTCCTTCAGAAACCTGTTAGAGTTTAGGGGCTTATACAATAAAACCGCAAGGAGAAAGAATAATTTAGATTCTGTTATATCTCTCTCGCACATAATTTGTGTGAATGAATTACTTCCATCATCATCAAATCTGATTACACCTGGAATAAGTACAAGAATTGTTTCCTTACCAATTGTAAACCAGCTTTTTGAGGTGATATATATTTTGTATTTCAAATTCTGTTCTATATCTCATTCTGTATTTCTGTATTAGCTGTTTTGTACTTTGATAATTTATTAGACAGATGAAAAATGAATTACATTTTTTAATCTTATAAAGGCAACTTTAGTCTTGTATTTGAAGATTATAGTTTTACTTTCTTTGAATGTGATGGATCCAATCATAAATTTCTGGTTTAATTGGTGGAATATGTGCATATCCTTTTATTTCCTCTACCTAATAACTGCACCATATACTTGCTTGCTGCAACGTTAGCACAATCATTAAGGATTATTTCACATCTAGAAGAATTCACCCCCTTGTCAATGGTCTTTTAACATAGTGACACCTAGGTTCATTCCTAAAGGCATAAATCTGACTTTGCTCTTTAAGCATAGCATACAGAATGTTATCTGTCATAGTTCTATAATAATCATCTTGTTCATCCCACTAACTGTTCTAAATCAAATATTCTACCTTGTCAACTCACAAGAATGATGTCTGGCTTACTAAGGGAAGTTACATTTATTAAATTGTGTAAGAAGTCCTGAATATGCAGAGTAATAAGGCCTGTAGATTAAGAATATTGGTGACTTGCTAATAGGGTATTAATAATCTACGAAACTGCTTCATAGTTACGAGTAAATCATTTCATTGTTTGAACTACAAAACTATAAATTCTGATTGAATGTGGCCATTGTGTTTAATGCGTAATAAGCCTTCAAAACTAAAAGGTGAAACTGAAAAAAAGAGTTGAGAGGGTTCACACAACAACTATGGTTGAAGATGAGCTAGGAAATATGACAAGACAAGTTGGTTGGGGAGGTTCCAAAGAAGCTTACTCCAATGTTATTCTTCCCATTCATTCTTTTTATTAGCTAAAATTCATATAAGTATTATCAAATGGAGAATGAAACTCATAAATTTTGTCCAAAATGTGTTAGTATTTTTTAATTTTGTTTGTAAAAAGTTACATGGACACTTGAGACATCTAGAGAGAAAGGAGAAGATTGTAAATGTCATAGGTGATATAATGTGAAAAAAAAAAAAAGTGTCAATGGTGTTTTTGAACTATGCATGTATCCATAATTCAGAACTTATTTTACTTTTTTATCCACTTCATATTCCGTCTAACTTAACTATAATCTTCAAACCCAAAATGCTAATTTTAATCACATATTTAGTTCTTCTTCAAACTCTATTATAATGTACTCGTTTTTAGTTGTTTGAAATTTACGTGGGTTACCAAATGGAGAATGAGACTCACATATTTACTTATTTAGTGAGATTAACCAAACAAGTAACGGTATTAATTAAGAGATGTTTTTTTTTGTCTTGGTCATCATTTTTCAATTTTGTTTGCAGCTTTCACTTGAATGTTACATGTTACCTAAAATTTATGAGCTATTCTTTTTGCACCTGACAAATCTTTTATGCCGCGCACTTTGGATTGAACTTGTGGGTCGTTTCAAAAAGTAGTGGAAGAAGGGACACCCATAATTTTGTCATCTAAACCACAAAAGTGCGTGGATATGTAAAGAGAAGTAGAGCGTTGCGTCGCAAAAGCATACTTAATTCATGGACACCATTCCATATCCATTCTTCTAGAAAATTTTTGGATTGATCTAGAATCTTCTAGAAATATTCCAGAAAATTGATTGTGGAATGTTTTCATACAGTTTTCGAAAAGGTTCATCCAACAAATTTTTAGAAACTGATTTCGAAAATTTATTGGATTGACATTTTATGAAATTTTTTGCCAGTGTTCCGAAATATTTCCAAAAAGCTGATTGTGGAATGTTTTTAAAGAAATTAATCCAAAATTTTTCTGAAATAAGTTTTGTGAAATCTATTTACATTGAGAATAATATTATCATTTTAGACAAAAGAAAGTAACATGTACAAGAAAGAAAAAATATGCATGGAATAAAAAAATATCCTAAACATACCATTCAAGTCCAACTTGTTGAATGCATTTAGTTTTTTTTTTTTTTTTTTTTTCTTTTGGGCTTTTGCCTGACTGAGACATGAAACTTGGTAATTAACAATTATTTACAAAATTTTACTCCTACTAAATTATCTAGTTTAGTTTCAATGCAGACATTATATGCTATTGGGAATTATAAGACTTATTCCATGCACATTTTCAATAATTTTTTACCTATGAAAATTGGGCGGGTTTAGGTTCTAATTTAAAATTCTAAATCTTGTTAGAAAATGTGAGATAATAGAAGTTATAACTTAACGAAGATAAAGCTTTCTATTTAATGATGAAACTTGTTGTTAAAGTTTTTTATTTAATTATAATTATAACTATAATAATAACAACATTGAGAGATGTGGGATGATTATTGTTGGACTGAAGACATGTATAAATGTGAACACGACGTATCCATGTCCTAATGTCAGGTTATTGATCTTTGTGTAATTTAAATGGGTTAATTCATAGTACTTTTCTGTTATAATTTTGTTAAAAATTTTATTGAAAGTAATAACGGTTCTTAAAATTTGTACCTTTTACACAATTACCTTCAAACACCTGTTTAACTTTAAGAGTCTCATATTTATTACATAATTAAATTCATTTAATAAACTAAAATAAATTTGACATGGACTTTGGGACGCGTGTTTCATTTAGCTTATTCATTCGTTTTATTTTGAATTAATATAAATGTGTTTTAAATTGATATTAATGTAGTGGTTTAAGTGGATGATTTCTAATCTTGTTATTCATATAAAAGTATTAAATTAAAAATTAAGCACATAAATTTCAGATTTAATGAGTGAGTTTGAAATGAGATATTTAAGAGATTATTAATCCTTGACATATTTATGATATAACTGAGTTAGAATTAGTTGACTTCACATAATTAATAATATATTAATTTCTGTTAGATATTATATTACTTTTTTTATTATTTATTTTTTCGTTCTCTATTTATATTGATTTATCATGAAATATTTACGCTGGAAAATTGATTGTGTGATGAGACTCTAATAGGATAATTTGTCTTTATCAGAATAATATTATTGTCTTTATTTTTTGTCATCCATTTTTTTGTTTTTTGTTTTAATTATGATGAATGTTCATAATAATTCTACTTGACCTTCTCCACAAAAAATTGTCTTCTGTTAGGATACTGGGTGCTATATTACCAAAAATGGCACACAAACAACCATGGAACATTTTTAAATAAGAAATCTTTTGTTTTTCTTTGAATAATTTCATAGATAGTAATGTGTCCTCCTACTCTTAATACAATATCATCTCTCTTTAATTTGGTTTAATAATAATTTCGTGTCAATATATTATAGTCATTTCAAAATAAATGTTTTAACTCGGTAATTGTGTCATTGAAAATGTTTGCTAGGCACCAAAGTTACTTAATTTTGCTTCATTACTAGATGCAAATGCATAGCACAGGATGGAAGTAGTGATATATACTAATAATAATAATACTAATAATATTTCCACTTGGCTTCAAGAATGTCTTACAACATTAGGTATGTAAACACCCTTGACACATTGGAACATCTTACAACTTTTGACCTGTAATAATAAACTAAATATCTTTCCATCTTCAAGGTTTGTTACATACCCTACTAATGTTCCAATAACGAGTGTCCTTTAGTTCATAATACAACACATGACAGCCTCGTAAGGACAAGGTAATAATAATATATGACTTCTTCCACAACATATGCATCTGCTTTTGAATAATTTGCCTGGAGCATAAAACCGTTTGAGGCTCTACACATACCCATGAAAACCTCAAAGCATGGCTTAGTGGTGCAGTGATGTTCAAACATTCATCCCTTGCAAAGCTCCACTGTTAAGAAGCTTCATTCCCTCTTCACTCATCTGCTGAACTTCTGAAGGTGACAAAATTCGGATGCAGCGGACACAGCCCACAAACTCCCTATACACATAGCATTTTATATTATCAGATTGTCACACAAGATAATTATTGTTCCAAAGATTTTTAAACACAGAATCTTTATCTTGGCTCAAGACAATGCCAAGCATATTAAGCCTATGAATGTTATTAAACTCAAATGTTGAGTATCACACATTAGCAGAGGAGGTAAGAAACTTACTCCCAAGGATCATCCCCAACAAGTAGAACATCACTCTCATAATCTACATACACCAATTTCCATCCTCCTTTAGTGTCATTTAGCAGACCATCAAGTCCAAACATACATTCAATTGCACGGATCAACTCCTCATAGTTCTTGAAAGTATTGACATCAATTGATCTTCCTACAGAACCGGCCTTTTGCACCTGTCAGAAACCAAAATCATGATGATATGCATAATTTAAGATGTTGAGCCAAATAATATAGGTGGCTACATTTCATGAATCATTACAAGATAAGACGAACGATCAATTAGCACTAGCATAATGTTTGAATGCAAATGTGGAAGTGTTTTAGTTTTTCTCCTATACGAACCTTTGTGTAGCTTCGGATCGGAGCAGGTACTTTCTGCCATGAGTTATGCTGTAGAAAGCTGCTCTCATCAAAATCAACATGGCTTGAAGAAGTGCCACCTGAGTTGTCAGGGATGTCTCTGAGAGAAAAGGCGTGTGACTCAGCTAGACTTGCTGAGGTTATCTGAGACTGCACGTCTTGGCTCGAACTCAAGTTGCCCACCAAGCAATCGTTTGGATTCTGAAACTCTCTCTCCTTCATTGTGCAAAACTCATCCAAAATGGTGCTTGAAGTAGAAGGATCAACCATGGTGGTACCTACACTGTTGTTGCTAACATCAACATTGACACAAATCTCACTTTGGTTGTTGCTCTCAGCTGAAAGATCCCTCAAACTGCTTGAACTTGACATGCCATTGAGGCCAAAAGTCCCTGGCTGACATATGGAAGTTAGCTGGTCTGTTTGAGACAAAAATTTCAAACTCTTGACATAATGATCCCACACTTCATGGTTCATTGAAGGCAAAGGGGGATTCACTACTTGAGGTTGAAGTGAGGTATGTTCTTGCAAGTCAGATAAAGGTCCAGTTGGTCTGTTTGGCACAGCAAAGGGTTGGGAAGAAGCATATGCCATCCATTCATCAATGTCTAGCTGAGGAAGCAGGCTATTTACCATCGCAGTTTCAGTTTGAGACATGTCAATCATTTGCTGTTGGGGTATGGATGATTCTAGCTGAGGTTGCATAGGCCATGGACTAGAGTGAGTGAGTAGAGGAGTCTGATTTTGAGCATGGAATGTCAATTCGTTTGCTAGGCCTTGCTGGTTAACAGGATTTGCTGCCACCTTTTCAATGTTGCAACCTTCCATGGAAGGGTAGTCAATCATATGATCAGGTAATACCTCAGGTTCTAATTTTGGCTTGTCAGTTACTATCCCAGAAGGCAGATGATTATCAATTTTGGCAAGAGTATGCAACTTGTCAGGTTGATCACTTTTCAACAATGATTGCATGTTTAAGCGATTAGTTTGGTCGGGCATACATTGAGTGTGTAGATTTCTAAGCGGCATGTTCTCTGGTGCAAGTGTGGTCTTCATCTCTTGAAAGGGACCTCTTGCAGGAGCAGATTCTTGTTGCATGGCGGATAACATTGCTCCGTTGTTGTTAATAATCTGGGGTTTGAAAAGCATTTTCATCATGTGCTCTGAGTAGAGATTTGGCATTGAGTTTGAGAGCTCCATAGTTCCATTTTCTGGAACTCTCATAAAAGGTCTTCTTAACAAAGTTCCCCACTCGTTTTCTGCAACAATCAACATTACTAGTCATCAAATAGAAGATTCATTTACTAGGTAGGAAAGGAAATACAAGAAAAGAGACTTACCATAGAAACCAGATTGTAATGGCCGTTTTAGACTTGAAGTCAATGAAGGAAAAATAAAAAGGCTTTCAGGAGTCTCAATCTCCCAAACACTAACTCTATTCTGTTTATCACCACACCCTGGCTCATCCCACTCCACCTGTTTGCAGAGAAATCATTATGCCCGTTATTTCTACTAAACACGAGCTCCAATGTGAACTACGCTTCATGAGTATACAAGTACACAATTGCACCCATACATACTACAAAATACGAATGATAGAACTTAAGCAGAACTTATTGTACCTGAATATTTCGCCATTTAGAACCAGGCCACCTCAGAGGATCCACATCACTAATACCAACTATTGTACCCATATATCTGCAGAAAGATGAAGTATTTGTCAACTCATGCTTGTTTGATGGTTCACACCCATCACAAAAATAGTTAGCAATCATATTCGGATATAGCACGATCCAAGCATTCAGGAAATTACCTTCTCTTACCCGATTCTTCTGTCTCAAACATCATGCCAAACCTCATGCCAACTGAGACCTGAGTTCCTAATACAGCTTTTCTGTATTTAGGCAGTGGAATAACAAATTCTGAAGGGCAAGCCCTACAAAACAAGTAGAAGTAGATCTTAAACTACAGAAAGAACACAGGGAATATTTAAGGTGAGGGTGTGAACACGTTAAATATATACCTTGGATTGTAGAAAATAGTGAATGGACTTCGATTGGCGGCGGCATGAGCTGCAGCAGCAAGCACACCAATGTGCATGCTATCAGCAGAAAGTACTGATGATGGAAGTGTTGTTTGTTGACGATTAACACGCCTCACACCAACTCGCAATTGCGATTTCTCATCCCTAGTAACAATGTCATCATTTTTATTATGAGAAAAGTTATGCAAGGAGAGTGGTTTGCCCTTGAAAATTATGATGTCTTCTCTATGGTAACATGGAAATAAAGAATGTTGCTTGTAGCCAGCAATTAAGCAGTTACCTGATGAAAAGAACAGAATCACCAGCTCTGAGTCTTTTTGAGCCTACAAACAAACTCCACCCTGTTGTGAGAAGGTGTCTCTTTGGTTGACCTAATAAAAATTGTAAACAATAAAAGTGAGCCTTTCCAAACAATAATAAATACGATGACTCTAATGCACATCCACTCAAGGTTACTATAATAAAAACAAAAATGCTTTAAGCAGAAAGCTGCAAAGTCAAACAACAACCTGCAAGAAAAAAGGAGCATATAGTGCTGAACATGAAATATAATCCACAACAATACATTCATTCTATTTTTGGAGCAAAGAAATATATAGATTTTCATAATAAAAGCATACTCACCTCTGTAAATATGTCTAAATGTCCAGGTATTATCATGCAAATCTCGAACAACAAGTTCTTGAGTTGGGGGTTGAATTGTGTAATCCTGAAGTGAAAAATAATATATATCAATAAAATGAAAATTATGGTACCAAATCTTATCAAGCACAAGAGGAGCATGATTTGCAATCCGCCGGTGTTACAACCATACCAATGGAGGAAAGAGCTTCTCTGCTGCCCTGCGTGGAACCGAAAAACCGCCGTGTGTGCTCGTGTCACTGGCAGTCAAAGTTTTGCAGAAGAACTCGCTGGGATGTTTACTGTGCTTTAGCCCAAAATCAGATATGGGAAAGACTTCTTTTTCCTGACAGAAATAACCAAATCCAAACTCAAACCGGGAAGAATTGCCAGTACACCACAACCAACCTTGAAATTTAAATGTTCAAAAACAAAAATCTCAAGACAGACTTACAGAATTCAGTGGCTGGAGACTCATTTGAGCATAGATTTCATCTGTCTCCTTGTCTGCCTATCATAAAATACAGAAACAAAAATGGTAAAAAATTTGTTCGGAGCTATGATGATTTGAAGTCTAAATAAGCCATCCAGGACCTATGCAAACAGTGATGAACCAGCACACAACACTCACATGAAGTGTGACGTTTTGGACTTGACACAGCAACTGAGATGGAAGATTGGGGTAGTTTGGAATCTGCGAGGTTGCTGTTCTTCTAGTAGAAGCCGCCACCTGTTCAAATATTTAGAGAAAGGGACAGAGACAAACATGCTTCAGCCAACCTAAACAAACGAAGTCAAAACCTTGGCTCAACATACCAAAGAAACTAGTGAGTTAGAGGTAACAAGGCAAGGTTAACAAAATTAGCACTAGGAAAGAAAACAAGAGATTCATTCATTCACCTGCTCACTATGTCCCTGAGGGAAGTAAAACACAAGGCTCCCAACCTGAGGTAATGAGACAAGAGGGCCTGCACAAGCATGCCATAACTCTGAATTCAAAGTCTTTCTGACCCCTGAAAAAATTTATGGCATCAAACAAGCCTGTCATTAAAATGTAACCAAAAGGTAAAATGATTTTCCAAACAAGAAATTGAAACAGACCGGAATGTTCCTGCATTTCTTTCAACAGTTTCATCTCAGCCACCAGAGTTTGACCCCCAACAACCATTCCCCCTCCAGCTCCAACTCCTCCATTTTTAATCTTTTCTTCTACGGAAGCCATCATATTCTATTCCTATGATGCACCACCCTCTACGTCTTCAACTTAAACCACAAGAGGAACCTGTGTTTCTACGTCTTCAATTCACAACTTGCATCCCTACCAAACAAAAACTCTCCTTTCCCTCCTCCCTATGACCACCTCGACTCACCACCCCGTTAGGAAGAAGAAGCAGAAGAGAAGAGAAGAAGGGTCCAGGTTGTTAACATGAGAAGAATCTCATGTGTTGTTGGTCTCTGAGAAAACAAAGAATCCAAGCAAGCTGACAAACAGACCAAAACCTGTGAAAAAAGGCACAGCGCAGATCTTTCTTTCAAAGGGTGGGGGCTTGGCACAAAGCAACCAAATTAAAGGCCATCAAAGCACGCGGACCTAAGCATGAGTGTGGCTTGTATTATTGGGTTTGAGTTGAGTACTACTTGTGCGTGCCTTTTTTTTTTTTTTTTTTTCCTTCTTTCTATCTTGAAAAGAAACCAACCTTTCAGTGAAACCACTCATCACACTGACGCTGATACTGTTCCCTTCTTTCTTTCTCTCTTTTCCATTTCTCAAGCACAAGCACCAATGCCAAAAACCAAAACCTCCTTGTCTCTTCTCTCTCTTTGCTTCAAACAGCAAGTAGTGTGCATGCTACCAAGTCCTACCCTTTGCAGCTTTAAGCTATTTATATCTTTTAAATAATTAAAACCAAAACAAACAAAAAAAAATTAGTTAACTTGTATTAAATGAAAATCAGAAAAAGTGAAGCTAGTCTATAACAACACGAAAACAAAACAGTACACACTATCAACCTCACCCTTAGCTCACAGGTTATGTTGTAGTAGTAATCACTAGCTTTTACATTATTCAGATTCTTTAACATTTGATTACGTTGATTTGATTCTACCTTGTTTTTCAGGCATCTATCTATTATTACCACATTATTTCGCCACCAATTAATGAGAAAAGACATGTTTTATTTATTCTTTATTTCGAGAGACACAGACGTTGTGTGTTGTGTGGTTTATTATTATGCAGCGACGTTTATTTTATTTGTTTTGTAAGGACTGAAGTTGAGTTCAGTAGATTATGTTTGATTTAAAAAATGATAATATAGTTTCGTACAAGTCTTGTGTTAATGCATTTCTTTAATAACCGCATGGTGTGGATGTGATAGAAAGAGGGGAAGATTGATGATTAGAAAAATAGACGATGAGATGTGTGAAAAATATTAATATTAATAAACAAAATTCTAAATAATAAATAAATCATTTTTCATTAATTTTTCATTAAATAACTCTTCTTAAGTTTTTTTTTTGTTCTTTCCTATAAACTAAACATTAAAAAATTAACTCCATTATATTTTATTCTAAATGTCTTGTGTACCCTAAAAATCATGGAGATGCACTTTACCTGCCCCGTTAACATTACATCATATTTTTTCTCCCAAAGTCTTTTTTTTTTTTCTTAAGGCATTTTCATGTTTGATATTATTTTGAAATACTCAGTACAAGTTAGAGAGAAAATATAATTTTTATTTTCGTTCATTTTAACTTTCATAATTAAATTTAATGACAAATAAATAAATTAAGAAAAAAATGTTGTTAGTATTTCATTGATTATAGTTAAATTAATGTTTTAAAATAAAATCGGCAAAAACATAAATTTAAAATTTAAAATTTAATTAGAGTTTAATTAGATTTAAGTAAATTTAACAAAATAATATTTTTTTAATATAAAAAATATATAATAAATATATCAGGAACAATAATTTTTTAATAAAAATAATAATAATGATTATCATAATAATATAAAATATATTACAAAATAAAAAATATAATAACTAAAATAAAATAAAAATAATTATTATTTAAATTTAACCTAATTAATATAAAATTATTATTTTTTTATAAAAAATATTTAAAAAAATTTAAAATTGTTTTTTTTAATTTTTTTATCAAAAATCAATTTAATTAAATAATTCAAACAATTTTTTTATTTTGTATCGATTTAATTAAAATTTAATTATTTAAAAATAATTAATTAATTTCTAAATCGATTAAATCAATTAAAATAAACTAATCTGTCCTATTTTTGAAACAATAAACTAAGAATATTAATGAGTTTATAATTAGTGATGGATACCATAACTAACGTTATCTAAAAATGTTGAGTATATTATATATCAATTACATAAACTATCTTTATTTTATTTAAAAATAAACAATAATAATAATAATAATAATAATAATAATAATAATAATAATAATAATAATAATAATAATAATAATAGGACACAAAAAAGTGAAATGATGATTGATTGATGCTATTGTGAATATCTGGCAGAATTTATAGGTATCAGGTATTTTCCTAAAAACAAAATAGTGTGGTTTTCTAAGAAGAAAATGATGTGAAGTATATTCTACTACATTGATAAAATAAAAACTAATAATTTTACGGAAATAAAATAGAAAATAGAAAATAAAATGAGAAGAAATTTAAAAAGCATTTCTTGCCCGGGTTCTGAGCAGTAGGTGTTAGCACCTGATGTTTGACCGTTCATCACGCGTGCGATCCACGACAAACCAATGAGGTGAAGGTGTGAAACAAATTCAAGATTTGAGTGACACGTGTCACTGTGCTGTCTATTTACTCACGGCGCCGTTTTCCACATTTGACATTCTACGTCCCCCTTCTTTTGACCTGCTTTCCCTTTGCTTTTTTAAATCTGATGTAGAAAAAGACTTTTAAAATAACTTTTTTTTTCTAAAGAGTTAATCATCTTTTTAGTTTTTTAAATTTGAGATAAGTTCTTTTTACTTTTAAATTAAAAAATCATTTGATCTATTAAATTTTAAGAAATTATTATTTGAATTTCTTAAATTAAATTACATTAATCAAAGTATTAACATGATGTTACACTTACACACATATCCATCTTTTAACACCCATGCGTAAATCTTTTAAAATTGAATAATAAAAATTATTTTTTTAACTTGAAGAAAATAAACATATTTATTCTCAAAACTAAAAATATAATTAAATATTTTATTGACTATTTTAATACAAAAAATGGTTTTTTAATCCACCCTTAATATTTTTATTCTTATATTCTTATGTAATTAAGAACGAAAATGAGAAAAGTGAAAATAAATTTTCATTTATATATAAATCTAATGCTAAAAATAGAAAAATGAGAATTTATGAGGAAACATTAAGTTTTTTCTTAGCTTATTTAATGAGTAAAATGGTTTGATACAACAACAATTTGTACTTTTATATAAGCAAGTGTAATTCATAATTTTTTAAATAAATTAAAGTGTACTCCATCAAAGTTGAATTGAGTATTTAAAATGTTGCTCTAATTTTTGTTACATCTTGTATTTTTTTTCCCTTCTCTCTCTTAAACATCAATCAATTATCTTTTCTTATTACACCACACCACTACACAGACAAATACAGCACAAAATCCCACGTTCCTATCTCATGTCGCGTTCTATATATCTGTTTCTCTTCAACTCAATTCATACGACCAAGAAAAAAAAAAACACCGCATCAAATATGTTCCTTCCCTTTGTTAAGATAGATTAGAAGTCAAATTCAAATCTACGCTATAAATTTAGTGAAGAAAAATCGAATAAGTTGTACTTTAGTAGGTTTATTGACAATGACCTTATACTTACTAGGCTATTTTAAGTGACTTGTGCATGAATAAATCTATTGATTATCTTGTAATGCAACTTGAGTTTAATTAAGATTTGAGACTATGCCCAGCTTTTATGGAAATTCTGACCACTACGAGTTAATCTATTCATAATCCAGGTATCTAGCATAGCTTTTGGTCTTCTTTTCCAAATTGAACTCTTGGGTGATTAAAGAAAATTAAATTAAATTAAATGAATGAATGTTTTTATCTTTGCTTGTTAAAGTATCCTATATCAAAGCCCCTTCCATGTTATCTTCTTCCATATGTATACATCGTAGCAATATTATTCCCTACTTATTATGGAGATAAACCCTCTCACAATATATAGTTTGTTGAATAGGTAATATATATATATATATATATAATAGGAAGATTTAAAAGTTATGGAGAACGAAACTTTAGTTTATTGCAGTTAAAATTTTAAAAGTTTTACATAGAAAAACCTAAAATAAAATTATTATTTATTTATTAGAAATTATTATTTCTCTAAAATTATTTTTATTTAAATTTTTCTATAATTATTTTCTTTATGTTATTAAATTTGTTTTGTTTTTATAATTTTCTCAGACAAAATAAATAAGTTGAAAAGTGATCAACAGTAAATAATTATTGTACGATTAACATTTTGATTTAATTAACTTTTTTTTCCTTTTTATTTATGTGAGGACTTTGAGTATACGCATGATTTTTGTTTTAACTGGATAACATATATAGTGGTCTAGGTTTATAGTCTTGTGTTTTGTTTATTAATCAAGTCTCCTATGAACATGTGAGAGCATCCTTAATTTGTTTCCTTTTCAAAATCTAAGGTTTTCTTGAAGAGAAAAGAAATTGGGTAAATAAGTTGACTTTAATCTTAAATGTACCATATATTAAAAGATTTAATCTAATTATAATTGAGAAATATATTATGTTTCGAACTATGTTTGATATATAATTTGTGGTTGCATTATAGTTTATAATTTGAGCAATTGACTAATTATGTGAAATTAATGTAGAATTATATTGATGAAGTACATGGGTATAGTGTTGAATTGATAGTTTATTTTGAATAAAATAATATGTTGAAATGCATGCACTAGTGCAGAAAAGGGCTTTTACGTCACTCAATTGTAGTCGCATGTAAAAATATTCGACGTAAATAAAACGCGGTGACAATTTTGTAAATAAGGGACAAAACTTTTACGTCGCACACCCTAGCACGCGACGTAAAAGTCTCTTTACGTCGCACTCGGGTGGCGCGACGTAAAGAAGGCCTTTACGTCGCGCCCCAAGCACGTGACGTAAAGGCCTCCTTTACGTCGTGCCACCCAGGTGCGAC